GGAGAGAGAGACCCCTCAGGCCACAACAGGCCGGGGCCAGAGGCGCCAGCCGCGCTTGGCCCGTCGATCGCGGTCAGCGCCACCTCCCTGAGATGGGTTTTCTGAGACTCCCTGCCCTGGGGAGCAGGAACAGAGAAAGTTCTCTCCCTTTCCAGACGCACAGCAACCCCCCCCGCCCCCCGGATCTCTTTCCTTCTCTTTACCTCTCGGTCCTCCTAGAGACTCTCTCCGGTGCCCCCACCGCTGGCCTCTTTCTCCCCTTACCACTGCGCCCCTATTTGCCGTATTTCCCCCCTTTCCTTTCTCTCTCTCTCTGTCCCCGTCTCTCTCCACCAGTCCTCTTTTTTTGGTGTTTCTTATAAGTGAAAGTAACCCAGCTCAGGGTGCCTTGGCGTCCTACGCCTGCTCACTCGCGCCGGGGTCTGGCACCTGAGCTCCTCTCTCGATTTAATTGCCCCACGTCAAGAGTTTAAAGACAGAGTTCTCACTCCTGCAAATCGAGCCCTGTTTCCAACCCGCGGTCCCTGGAAAGTTTCGCAACATTTTGAAACTGCTTTCTCCCAACTTCTGCCCTTATCCCGAGAGGGTCTGTAGGTTCCTGTGGGTCCCCAGCCCAAAAAAGGTCAGGAACGGCTCTGGGCAGCGAAAAGGGGCGGGGACTTTGGCGCCCCTAACTACCCCGGGGTTTAGAGAGGGGAGGAGAGAGGGAGGGACGCAGTGCGAGGTTGTGGATCCCTAGGGGAAGTACCAGTAGCTAGAGGGATTTCTCATTCACTTCCGTTGGCTTTGGGCAGAGATGCTTGGAGCTGCTCAGAGCAGACTCTTCCAGCCACAGCTCCCTGCGACTGAGGATGCATATTTGAAAGTCAGAACTTTGCCAGAGAGAGTGGAAATGGCGGGGGGAGGGGCAGGGAAGAGAAGAGAAAGAACTGTTTAATCCTGGGTGGTTCAAAAGCTCTCAGGGAGAGAGGATGTGCTGATTTCAAGAGAAAGGAAATGGCAAATTTCAGTAAAAGATATGATATAAATAAATAGATGATACATAAATATATATTTAAAACATAAATATATATGTTTGCCCAAGTGTCCTAGAACCAGGGTTCTCTGTTGTCTGGTAGTCTACCACTCAGGACTGAAAATACCAAAGATTTGGCACCAAAGAGCAATATGCTGGAAGCACTCACAATTATAGAAATATTCCTATGTGCATTTGTCCAGGTAGAGAGGAAAATGACTTGGCAAGATTGCAATTTCCTAAATAAGTTACTAATTCAAATCCGTTACTGTGGCCACGGTGTGGCTGTATTACTGGAATTTCATAATGGGTATATACTACATAAAGTTGGTAAAGTACCTGTGATGCATACAATCTGAGATTTTTAAAGATGGCGTTTTTTTCCCTTTCCACATTTCTTATTGGTATGTTATAGTTGTATAATGGTGAGATTTGTTGTTAGGAATGCATCCAGTTTAACAAGGTAATTGGGCTCTCCCCAGCCCTCCCCCAACCGTCCACACCTCCTAGCCCCTGGTCCCTCTCCTCTACTGATCTCCCTTTGATTTTCATGAGTTCCCTGCCTCCACCTCTCTTTTCCTTTTTCCTCTCTAGCTTTCACATATGACCCTTGACCTTCTCAGTTGGGCTTATTTGGCTTAATATGATGGTCTTAAGTTCCATTCATTTTCCTGCCAATGACATAACTTCATTTTTCTTTATGACTGAATAAACTCGATTGTGTATATATACCGAATTTTCTTCATCTGTTCATCCGTTGATGGACAGACACCCAGGCTGATTCCATAGTTTGGCTATTGTGAATTATGCTGTTATAAACATGGTGTCCATGTGTCACTGTAGTATGATGGCTTTAATTCCTTAGGATAAATGCCAGGGAGTGATAGCTGGTCCTAAGGTGGTTCCATGCCTACTCTTTTGAGGAACCGCCATACTGATTTCCAGAGTGGTGGTACTAATTGACAATCCCATCAACAGTGTAGAAGTGATTTAAAGGATTGGCAGTCTTGATTGTTTAAAACAATCTACGGAAGTGTACTTCTGATATGTCATCTTTCTTTCATTATGTGATAAAATTCCTCAAGGCCTGGGACTTGCAAAGGGTTCAGCATGGAACAGAAAAATATCAAGAAATCAATCTATGAGCTGATTCCAGTAAAAACTATGATAGTACTTTTACTCAAATTACCCAGAAATAGAGCACTTTTCAGTATTTTTCCATTAGATGATTTCCCTCTCTTTCAAGTCAAACCACTCCTGATGAAGAGAACCCAAGAGGGTATAAATTTTACATGTAGCAACCGATTTCTCTGTGTGAACCATCTCCTGTGCTTCTTTTCTAAAAATTTGCTTTATGAATGAATTTTGTCTACAGTTTGGGAAAATTGTTTCTGATATAACACAGTATTATCCACAAAAGCTGAAGGGGAAGGAGATATCAAGTATCTCCTGGAGACCACCCGAGGTGATGGAGACCCTGGACTTCTACATTTCACCTCCTCCTTTCCTCGGTGGATTATTGCACCTCTGCATCTGTGCTATAAAGGAGTTTTGTTTTAGTACAAGGGATTGAACCCCAGAGCACTTGCTAAGAGTTCAGCATGGAACAGAAAAATATCAATCTATGAGCTGAACCACTGATGGGGTTCACCCACTGAACCCCATCCCCAGCCCTTTTTTATATTTTATTTAGAGACAGGGTCTTGCTGAGTTGTTTAGCTCCTCCCTAAGTTGCTGAGACTGGCTTTGAACTCAAGATCCTCCTGCCTCAACCTCCGGAGCCACTGGGATAACAGGCATGTGCTACCATGCTTGGACTTTGGAGTCTTAGAGAATCTTAGGAAGAGATGTTTGGAATCATGAAGATATTTGAGCTAATTCAGATCAAAACCTTTTGTCTAAGTAGTAATCTTTTATTGAGTTCTTATCGAGTACCAGCCCATGTGGGTAAATAATAAACACTGCTTAGTTTTTATAGCTGCTGTACAAGTCAAGCAATGTCAGTCAAATTTCGTTTCACAGGTGACGATAATGATGTCCCAAAAAAGTGAAGTAATTTGACCAGAATCCCTGCCTAGTGATAGTGAGGATTTAAATTCTGTTTCAGTGGTATGATCCCATTTCATAATTCTTAAAATAATGAATAAATTATTAATCAGAGTTTGCTAGATTTTAGGAGGGACTGGTTGGGGAGAGGGTAGCAAAAATTGTCCAGAGGATTGCCTCGATTTTCTCTTCTATGAATGATTTTTCTTTGACACTTAGACATATTTGTCTAACAGTGAGGACTTGATGAGAATCATCCCGGATTTTCACTGGTGTTCCATGTTTTTTTTCCTTCAGCACCTAGGAGAGGTCTGACATAGTCGATGCTCGACAAATATTGACCAAATGTGGTCTCTCAACTTTGGTTCAACTGTGCTAATATGGCTTCTTTATTATGTATATTTTTAAAATCAGTTTGGAGTCTGGTTCTATAAAGAACTATACAGAATAATGGAGTCCAGGAAGGGAAAGTAGATTTTTCTTTTTCTTTCGGTATTGGGGATTGAACCCAGGGGCGCTTAATCACGAGCCACATCCCCAGCCCTATTTTGTATTTTATTTAGAGACAGGGTCTCACTGAGTTGCTTAGGGCTTCGCTAAATTGCGGAAGCTAGCTTTGAACTCACGATCCTCCTGCCTCAGCCTCCCAAGCTGCTGGAATTACAGGCGTGCACCACCAAGCCAGGTGGGAAAGTGGATTTTGAAAATAAATTGACCCCTCACAAAAGTTTGTTCTCAAAGATGCAGAAATTTGTGGTTACTTGGAATTAACAAAGAGTTTTTAACCCATTTTTTTCCCCTCTCCTGGGGCTTTACCAGATTTGAATGTTTTTGTGGGTTAAAGTGGAAGTCGTCTTTGGCTGATTCTTCTTGAAAACTGGGCCCCAGAGGAGTGATAATCGACATCAGTCACTAGCCCGAGATAATCTGAGGGATGGAAATGAAAGGGACGGCATCACAAATGACCCTGTTTGCTGAATACCCCTGAAGCAGCAGGAAGGGACCTGAAGTAAAGCCATCTATTTCCACAGAAAGGGAAAGCCACACCCAAATGATAGAGCAGAGTGGGCCAGTGAATGGCTTCCTGAGCAGTCAGCAGCAGGTGACTTCAGGGAAAACATAGAGCACCGGACTGTGGAGAGTGGAGTCTCTCAGAGGAACTGAGGGTGGCTGAGCTCTGTGACCTTGGGTATCACCCTCTCTGATCTAGTTTACTCACAGGATGGGAATGGGGAGAAATGGTATCGTATTTGCTGGCCATGTGGGCAAATGGCCTTAGTGTACATTTTTTGGTTTTTTTTTTTGGTACCAGTTTTGCTTCCAGGTATTGAACTCAGGGCACTCGAACACTGAGCCCCATCCCCAGCCCTATTTTGTATTTGATTTAGAGACAGGGTCTCCCTGAGTTGCTTAGGGCCTCACTAAGTTGCTGAGGCTGGCTTTGAACTCCTGATCCTCCTGCCTCAGTCCCCGTCCCCAGCCACTGGGGTTACAGGCATGCATGGCTGCACCCAGCTATACTTTTTTTTTTTTTTTTTTTAACAGTCTTCCTACTACTAACTTCCAGTGGAGCATAAATGTTGAGAAAGTATTTGATTAATGGTGACAATAACATTAGATTCTCTTTTTTGAGTTCCTACTATGTGCTAATCATTGGGTTCTCTGAGCAATCCTGCCACTTGCTCTCATTTTACTTATGATGAAAATAAGACTTAGCAAAGTTAAATGACTTGCCAAACACCACAGAGCCAGAATGTGAAGAGTTGGGGTCCGCACAGGGATTGGTTCACCCGCAAAGTGTGTGATTCCATTATTTGGAGCAGCGTAAGGAACACAGAGCCTTTTACCTAATTGTTCTTGGTGGCTCAGCCCTTGCACTTGGCCTGGTAAATATGATCTATGAGAATATTTCTCTTTCTTCTAGTGCTAAATCCCAAGTTCTGAAGAGCTTCTCTGGAGCATGCTCAGAAAGTTGTTGCTCCAGTTGTTCATGACTGGCTCAGGGTGGATCTGGAAGGGATGCTCCGTGTTAAGCCTTATTTCTTGTTATTCCAGAACACTATCCTCAATTCTATTGCTCGGGCTTCAGAGCCCATATGTGAATCCCACAAATGTTTAATTTGAGACTTTATCCTTAGAGCCTCAAATCCTTGTGCTATCTTCTCTAACATCCCGTGAAATGAGATCTTCAGACCTGGGGTTCAACATTAGAATCACCAACAGAACTTGGAAATCCCGGACTTCTGGCTGAAATCCAGACCATGCTCACACTAAAGCCAAATTAGATGGAAACATAGTGTGTCCAAGTGCAGTGTCATGATTTTTCAACAGTTCAGTTAACCCAGCTTTTTACGAGCAATAGGCTCTCATGGACTCTGGTAAGTCTTACCGTATCTGAGGCCCACCAGAAGGCAAATGCCTGCCGAGCCCAGGACTTTTCCCACCTTGTTGGGTTAGCTGGTGGCATTTGTTAGACTTTAAGAAGCATGAGAGCAATGGACGAGTCTGTCTTCTTTTTAATATTTATTTATCTATTTTGCAGTACTAGGCACTGAATCCAGGGTCTCGTACAGTCCAGGCAAGCGCTCTACCACTGAGCTACATCCTCAGCCCAACTTTATCTTCTGAGCTGATATATACCTGTTATAGTTTCGATTTAGATAGAAGCTCATGTGTGATACAATGCAAGGCTTAGAGCCCCATCCCCAGCCCTATTTTATTTAGAGACAGGGTCTCACTGAGTTGCTTAGGGCCTCACCGTTGCTAAGGCTAGCTTTGAACTAAAGATCCTCCTGCCTCAGACTCCCCATCTGCTGGGATTACAGGCATGCACCACCCATGCCCAGCTCCTCTGCCACACTCTTCCGCCATGATGTTCTGCCTCACCTTGAGCCCTGAGGAATGGAGCCAGGTGTCTATGACCTGAGGCCTTTGGAACTGTGAGCACCAAAATAAACTTTTCTTTCTCTAGTTATTCCTATCAGATCTTTTGGTCACAGCAGCCCCCCTGCCCCCGAAAAAAAAAAGACTAAAACAGTCCCTGTGACACATGGTGGGTATTTACCAATATTTCTAAATGAGCGAACTATTGCCGCCAGTTTGGTTCTAGTTTTCAGAGGCAGTACTCCTTTCAATTTAGAGAAGTCCCTCTTCACACCCACGTACCTCATTTCTGTTTCTTACAGTGTCATTTCTCTTGGGGAGGCAAGTCTTGCTTTAATCAACATCACCAGGATTCCTTTTTTCCTGGAACCACATATTTCCAGAGCTCGGCTTTCTCTAGGGGCTGCTTGAGGGCCACGGTGACCAGGATCGTGGGAGCATCCTTACCTGCTCAGTACAGCGGGCAGGAGACCTCTTCCTGGGCAGGTTCCACATCCTTTGTGTGTCCTAGAAGGGGAGTCATAGTGGTTCCTGGCCTCCCAGATGCCGGGAAAATGACTAAAGTGGTGACAGCATTGGCTTGGAGCCTGGTGTGGAGGAAGTGATCTCCGTGGTTGAAGTCAGCAGCCTCACTACCTGCTAGTTAGGAAGGGTGGTCTCTTCCTTCCTCCAGGGCCTGCGTGTCCTTGATTGCAAAATGCTTTCCATGCTTCTATTTGCTGTTGGCCCCTTCATCTTCTTAAAGATTTTAAAAAAATTGAAAACAGATTTACTCTCTCTTTCTTACCATCTGCTTAAATGAGCAATTCATATAAGTCCAATTTAGTAATTTTCAAGTAGGTTTTTGTTCCCAGCAGAATCTTTTTAAATAGTTATAACATCATTTCCCTTTGTCCATAAAAAAGTGTTTTTTTAGGGTAAGCACATTTCATACATGCAAATAAGTCATTCAAAAAAAAAAAAAAACAAACACCTCTGCTCCATTGATGCCAGATAGGTTTTCTGCTCTAATAATATTGATTATAATGGGTATTTCCAGGAATGATGGATAATACTGTATTTAATTCTCCTGCCAAACCAAGGAGATAAGAGAATGCTGCTAGACCCCTTTTCTTCCTCCCTTTACTTGTTAGTTTTAGACAGACTAGCCCACCTTTTCACTGGAGGAAGTGAGGGTACAAAGGAGATATGTAACTTGGTCCAAGTTGCACTGCTAGGTGCTGAATGGAAGGTTCCAGGGCCTGTACTCGTTTATGTTTTATTGGGCTTTACACAGGATAAACTGGGAAGCTTAAGGATGTAGTTTCCAAGAGTAGAAATCCAAATACATGTGGAATTCAGATATGGGGACGCTGGGATGGACTAGGCCAGAGGGGATGGTTCAGGGATGGGGTTCAGGGAGTCGGTCACTAATATGGGATTCTGGACTCGGGCCCACTAGGACTGAGGAGGAGAAGGTGTTTCTGGAAAGGCAGAGCACTCACCTGTGAGACTGGCCCTGGGAGCCTCATTCTCCAGTGGCTTCATTGCTGTACCAATTCTTGGGAACCTCCTTCCCTTGTCTCCAGATCAGCCCAGGGCCCTGTATTGTTTGGATGTGGTCCTCACTATATAAACACTTGTAAAAATGGCACAGGCTTTGAATTCTTTGGGATGAGCTAATTTGAGGGGCCCTCGACAAAGAAGCTTTTCAAAGACCTTTTCAAATCATTTTAGCTACTCTACTAGAAACTATGGGAAGGTGCTGAAGGCAGGGAAGAATAGTTTCATTTTCCAAACTAATGTACATAAATTTGAAATGTGCAAACATGGAGGTGTGTCCCATGTACCAACCTGACCTGGTAATGAGATTATGTGACATCAGATTAATGCTAGTTGGAAATGGTGTAGTCACCAAGCATGGCTTTTGTATTAACTGGCACCAATACAACAAAATAAGTTGTTTCCTGAAATGTAAGCCTAGCAATTAGCACCTTCTCCAGTCCCTATCAGATGTTGGCCAAATAATCAGTTTTGCATTGATTTTTATTCCCCACTGAAAACAGGTCTGACAGTCCATACTGATGGCATTCATGGCAGTGTAACAGGAATAAATTTCAGCTACCTGGGCTCTGTGTAACAGGGAGTTAGAAAAAAATAAGAACTTGCTGGTATAACTTCCTTTTAGATACCTTCCGATGACAGGAGGTAACACAAATTCACTTAGCTCATTGATTCTGAACATGAACCTGGTTCTTAGGAACTTTCTATTTGTTCTGATACCTCCTCCAACAACATGGAAGTTGAAGTAGAGAAGTGGCTCCTTCCCTGATCCAGACTTTTGGCCTTGTGTCCAAGAGCAGCACAGTCCTTAAAAACAGAAACGTGACAAATTTATGACTCTCTCCTCCCCCAGCACTAACATGGTAAAGAGGGAAGGGGACTTTCAAGGGACAGTAGGTGAATGAAATACTAGGCAAATGTTGAAACAGGGTCAGGAAGCCAGGTGTGGTGGGGCATGATTGTAATCCTAGCAGCTCGGGAGGCTGAGGCAGGAGGATCCCGCAGCATCAGCAAC